ATAATATTTAATGACAACTGTAATTGAAAAATTAAAAGAAAAATTTAGGGCAAACGTCTAAGATTTCTACCTCTCCATCTAATTTTGGTGCTCCTATTTTTTCTTCTTCAGTTGGTATAAAAAGGGCAGTAAATGTATAACTTTTTGAAAATTCACTTAAAAATAAAAATAGACTTCTTAAAAAATAATATACATAGTACATTTAAAAGTAAAAGCCTTTTAACTAAAAATTTTAGTATATTTTTACGTGTATTGTACACATAATGTTTGTTAGTATTTTAAGTAGATGACTCATTGAATCAGCCTATTATTTTTTAAGTTTTACAGCTGCTTTTTTACCTTCTTTGAGAAAAACCGATGTATATATGGGTGCATACATGTTTTGTTATATTAGATGTTTCCATGGCCATGTAGCTGTCACAACCATGTAACTATCACTGCCTGTATGTTTGAATTTAGGAAAGACACTTTTAGGGAAGTTCATTTCAAGTATAAATTCTATGGAAAAGTAAAGTACAGCATAGAAAATCTATACTAATAAAAGGGTAATATGACCAAAAACTGTTTGGCTCAGTAGATAGAGCATTGGCCTACAGAATGAAAGGTCCCAGGTTCGATTCCGGTCAGGGAATGTACCTTGGTTGTGGGCATATCCCCAGTGGGAAGTGTGCAGGAGGCAGCTGATCGATGTTTCTCTCTTATCAATGTTTCTAGTTCTCTAGTCCTCTCTCTTCTTCTCTGTAAAAGATCAATGAAATATATATATTTTTTTAAAAAGGGTAATATGCTAATAGACCAGGTGTCCTTCTGGACAAAGCCATGGTGGTGGGAGCTGAGGCAGACGCAGTTAGGGGTAATCAGCCTGGTGGGGAGAGTAGTTAGGGGTCATCAGGCTAGCAGGGGAGAATGGTTAGGGGCAATCAGGCAGGCAGTCAGGCAGAGTGGTTAAGGGCGGTCAGCAGGCAGAATGAATAGTTAGGGGCGATCAGGCTGGCAGGCAGATGAACTGTTAGGAGCCAGCGGTCCCAGATTGCGAGAGGGATCTCGGATTGGAGAGGGTGCAGACGCTGAGGGACCCCCCCTCACACCATGCATGAATTTTGTGCACCAGGCCTCTAATATAGTTAATAATATTCTAATAACTATGTATGGTGTTAGGTGGGTGTGAGATTTATTGGAATGATCACATATTGACATTAAGTTATGCAATGTCTAATTACTGAGGTGTACACCTGAAACTAATGTAATATTGTCTGCCAACTGTAACTGAAATAGAGAAATGACTCTAAAATGGAAAAAAATAAATTCTACTTAACACTATACAGGTTTTTTGTTTTTTTTTTTTTTTTTTTTTTTTTTTTTTTTTTACTTATTCTTATATAAACTAGTAGCATTTACTAAAATACTAAATTTAAATTTATCTGCATTCCCCGTTTATTTGGTGTAAAACAATGCATTCACTATCAATATAGTGGCTTGTTTTCAAGAGCTTGGATTTATGTTTGGAAGATAAATGTTTAATCATACAAATGATTAAAGGACAGTACAAACTAGCATAAATAACAAAAACTCACAAAGACCAGTCAAGTATTTATACTGAACAAAGGTAGAAAGAATAGTGTTATAGGCAGATTTGTTTAGTCACATAGTTAAAGATCGGGAATTCATTCAAGGTTGGATGAAGACCATGAGAGTGGAGAAGAGTGACAGCTGAGATTAAATTTCAAAGTCCTTAAGCTCTGTGATCATATTATTCCCTTTTTTCAAGAGTTTCCAAGGTATCCTATGACCAGCAATGACCAAGCTATTAACATATTTACTATCTATCTATATAAAAGCCTAAGCTTCCATCGCAGCAGAATGAACGGCCAAACAGGCTGTGTGGGGTGACCAGGCTGGTAGGGGGGCTAGAGAGGGGTGACCAAATGACTGAGCAGCAGGCTGCATGGGGCAACCAGGCCCACAGGGGGGGCAATTGGGGGCATCTAGGCTGGCAGGGGTGGCAGTGAGGGGCAACCAGGCGGGCAAGTGGGGGCAACAAGGACAGCATAGAGGGACGTAAGGGGCACAACCAGGGGGTGGGGGAAGACAGTTGGGGTGACCAGGCCACAAGGGGGGCAGTTAGGTGCGATCAGGCAGACAGGCAAGTGAGCAGTTAGGAGCCAGTGGTCCCAGATTGTGAGAGGGATGTGACTGCAGATCGGGCCTACACCGGCAGCCAGATATCCCCAGAGGGGTCCCAGATTGGAGAGGGTGCAGGCTGGGCTGAGGGGACCCCCTGACTCCTGTGCACGAATTTTGTGCACCAAGCCTCTAGTTTGATATATAATACATAACCTAGAAGAATCTGGTTATTTCTAAAAATAATTTCCCATGACATTAATTCTTGGTTGATTGAAGATGAATGTTTAGAAACTGAGCAAAAGACTGGCAAACGGGAATAGGAGAAATTATAACTGAATATCCTTAACTTTTGCTGCTAGGTGTCTTCCTTCACTTTTTCAAATCAAAGGAATACGTGCAAATGTTATTAAATCATGTAGTTCAAAAGAATCAATAGTGAACTTTAACACCCTGTACTTTTTATATTTCTATTTCCAGAGTCAGTATTTTTATCATTTCTGTTCTGTTTCTCTGTAAATTACCTTTATAAATCTAAATCAGAGATTGGCAAACGATGACCCATATGACAAATCCAGTGTTTCACATTTTTAAAAGATTTTTAAAAATCAAAACAAAGCAATTAAGATGAATATGTGATAGAGATTGAATATAATCACAAACACCTACGCATACAAACATTCACACATATATGCATATTTGTTAATTTAATAACCTAAACATTTAATTACGTACTGTAAAAGAAAAAGTAGTTTATACTCATAATACCACCAATCTATTTCTTATTGCTAGTTTTTGTATTAGTTTTAACTCTTTATTTACTTACATTTGTAGCTTTAAATGCTATAATTCTTAAACCTCTGTTTTCTGTTCCACTACCTTTGGGTGGGCATAAGAATAGATCTATAGGCAGTGATTATAGTGGAAATTAATTTGGGTTGCTTTTTGTTCAGGCGTAGTTATATTTTTAAAATTTTTATCACTGAGACCAGGTATTTTCTACAGTGTATTTTCTACACCAAAGCTAGCACAATGCCTGTAAGAGTATCTAATATTTCTTGATGTATGTTTGTATGTATATGTGTATGTATATGTAGGACAGGTTCTCTCTTAAGGGTCCCTATCATATTTGCAGAGGCTTGTGTTGGTTTTTACAAGTGATGCTATAGTCGTAGTATTTCTTACCATACTTAATTACATCCAACAGATTGAGTCAGAATTTTAAGTACACTTATTTGTCGTTATTTGCTGAAATACCTTCTGTTTTGCTTTTAAGCTGCCATAGATATCTGTGTGACACATTTTCTTTTGTGTAGAGTTAAGATTGTTGCCTTAAAAAAAAATGACTTAGGCATTGATTGGAGGTCAGACATGATATCACTCCAACTCTCAACAGATACTTAAAGGAACATGTTAGTCACACACTGTCTTACATAGTAGTAATGCAGTGTGAACAAGCCAGTCATGGTTGCTGCCCTAATGGAATTCAGTGGGAAAGAGGCAAATAAACAGTCATATACATAAGCATATATAAATGCAAATTGATATAAATAATTTGAAGGGAAAGAACAAGTTATTTGAGAGTAGCAGAGAATAGGTTTCTAAATCATGAGACCTTTTCATATATACAGATAATTAATGTTTAGCATCTGAAACTATTTTAATTCCCCTAGGGTATTAAAGAACTACTACCCTAGGGTAGTAGTTCTTCAAACTATTGCAGGCATCAAACTCACATGGAGTGTTTGTTAGAAATGTGTGTTTTGAGGCCCCAAGTTTAAAGTTTCTTAATCACTAGGTGTGAGTGGGCATGGGGATTTATTTGCATTTCTGATAATTCTAGGTGTTTGTGATACTGCTGGTCCTGGGAACCACTCTTCAAGAGCCACTGATCTAGGGTGGTGGTTTCAGTATTTTGGAATCACTTCTAGCACTTTAACAAAATGTTGATGCTTATTAGTTCCTGTGCTTGGGGATTCTGACTTAATTGTGCTGGTATGGCCTGAGTATGGAGCTTTTAAAAATAGCCCAGATGGAAGACAAAACAATATCTCAGGTGGTTACTGGACAGTGTCACTTAGTGGTTAGAGCATCAACCCTCGCACTGAAGGGATTCAGGTTCAATTCCTGGTCCTGGGCACACTCATGGGTTGCAGGTGCATTTCCCATCTCCAACCAGGGGCATGGGGAAGGCAACCATTTAATATGAGACACACACACACACACACACACACACACACACACACACACACTCTCTCTCTCTCTCTCTCTCTCTCTCTCTCTCTCTCTCTCTCTCTCTCTCTTTCCCCCCTCCCCCCCTTTCTTCTCTCCCCTTCCCCCTTTTCTCCCTTCCTTCCACTCTCTGAAAAGCAATGGGAAGAATATCCTCATGTGAGGACTAACAAAAAAGAAAATGCCCCAGGTGGTTCTGATGTGCAGACAGGGTTGTAAGCTACCCAGTCTAGAATTTGATTATGTATAGACATACCATTTCTCAGTGGGGCTGAAAGTATATAATCCTGAACAGTGGTAAGAATGCATGGAAAAGGTGGGGGAAAGATTGGACTAGAAGGCTACAGTAAAAAGATGGCACGTAAATTAAGGCTTAAAGTAGCATCTATCAACACCATAACTTGACAGAGAGAGAAGAGGGTATGTCAGAAGAAATAGTGATGGCACACAAAAATGCTTCATTAAAACAAAACAAAACAAAACAAAAAAACATCTAGGTTAGTACATTTCTAAAATGGAATCATTCTGATATCGAGAATCTTCTATGTCAGAAACAGAGGTGATACTTTATTTTTAATTTATAAATAAATATAAGGATCATCTGTACCATATTTAAGTAATGTTTATTAATACATTCTATTTAATAGGATGAGAAGAAGAAACCGAAAGACGAGGAGGTACGGAGTTTTGGACACTAATATAGAAAACATGGAACTGACACCTTTAGAACAGGATGATGAGGATGATGACAACACGTTGTTTGATGCCAATCATCCTCGAAGGTAAGTGTCCCACAGTTTAATCCAATGAATCAGCAGGCAAGTCCTGAACAAGCAAATTGAAAAAATACAGTTTCTTTTAATAGTTGTTATTCTAACAGATTCTATTTTGTTTTGTTTAATGGAGTTCTTTGTGCTACGCAACCAGTAGCTCACAGGCACATTGTTTTACTAAAGTAAACAAAGAATAGAATGCCATCCCCAAAAGAAACCTTCATTGTAGATCTCCTTGCAGAAAAGAGTCCTTCTAATTGCTGCATACTGGGAATATGAATTAACTCTGTGTATGTGTGTGTTTGTGGTGGGGGAAAGGAGATAGTAAAATTGATTTCATTATTGCATTCTGAAGATATTTTGGTATTAATCTGGGTTACTCTATTTGTAAACAATGCTTCTTGGCAAAATTGTGGGACTAATGGTCTATGGTGTAGTAGTGTAGCTTTGTCTTTTCTCAGATCTAGCCTTGCTGAGTGTTAAGACCTTTCCTAAGAGGATTGGATAAGTGAATTTATATGGATATAGAATTTCTTTCAGTGCAAATGAATGAGGAAAGAGGCAATCAAGATTCTAGTCAACAGCGGACATTTGGATAGAGTGGGGAAACTAGAGTCCAAACTCCATTGATTCAGTGAGCAGGACTCTCTCTGATGTTCTGATATCGGTGTTAGAATTAAACATACATTATGCCATCAATTTATTTAACACTTCAATCTTATCCTGTAGGAAAGATGCATATAGATCTTTTTATGACTCACTTTAATAACGCATGATAATCAAGTATAATGCCATTTATTTCTCCCAATAAAGGCAAAAAATCAATACTAAAATGAAGACTGCGTTATAAGGTCTTTTGGGCCCTGAAAGGAGACTTTCACCAGGGCTTTCCAAGACAGCCATATATGAAGAAACCATGCAATGGGTGATAGCGGTAGGATATCTTTAGAGGGATAAGATCAGGGGTCCTATTACTGAGCCTAGGGAAAAGCCTGGACAAAATGGGGTGACAGAACTGCAAAGTGGGGTGATTGTAAGAGTCACTTGTTGATAAATACCTACTTTAGAGCAGGATGTTCCAGACACCGTGCCAGACTTACATGTACTACATGTATTAAAGATACTCTTGCAGAGTAGTCCCGGCTTTCATTTTAAGGATAGGAAAACCGAGGCTCAGGTAGTTTAAATAATTTAGACCTATCTTCCTGCTGCAGTCTCACTCCATTTATTAAATATTTATATGATTTATACCTATGAAAAAATAATGATAAATTGTTTTGTTATCTAAACCAGCACTTGCTATTATTCATTTTCAAACGAGGACCCTAAAAATGAGGAATATAAATATTTTGTTTTGCCTACCTTGTCAGTTACAATGCAAAATCATATTAGTCTACAGTATAACTGCTGGTAATTCCTGCTGGATCATCTCTTACTGATGCTACCTTCATTGTTTAAGTGCTTTCTAAAATTAGTTCCTCTTCATTTTCCACATTCTATCCACAAAATAACAGGAAGCAAGTTATTTCCAGAAAGGTAAATGGATTTCCTTGCTTACAATTTTACCACAGTATAAAATAACCCTTTTGTAATTAGCCCTTTCTGAAAAGGATTTTTTTTAATGTGGCTTTTAATATTTCAGAATTTTAATAATTATTGTATTGGAAACTAGGACTTGAAATTATTTTCACTATTTCTGTATATTAGATTGAACAATCTGAAACTGTCAAACATGGTTTAATCTAGATTTTCTAAAGAGGATATATTCATGTGGAAGATGTCACAGGTAGGGCTGACTCCAGGCACAGTATATCTGGGCTCCAGCTTCTTTTCTCAGTGATCCTCTTTGTTCTGCCCATTTTCATGTGTTGGCTTCATTTTTTAGGCTGATGGTAAGGTAATTACTTTCAGAATGCTAGCTTTCCCTAGAAGTGAGGCCCTAGCTCTCTTGTGACTGTTTCTTAGAAATGAGGAAAATTTCCCTAGAAACTCTTAACAGAATTGTTTTCTGGAAGTGACTTGCTGCTTGTTATTTGTCTTTTATATCATTGGCCATGTGATCATTTCTAAACTAATCCTGGGAAACCTAGCAAGTTTGGCTTAGTGGTTTGGCTCAGTGGATAGTGTAGCCTGTGGACTGAAGGGTCCCGGGTTAGATTCTGCTCAAGAGCACAAGCCCAGATTGTGGGCTCCATCCCCAATAGGGGGCATGAAAGAGGCAGCCTATCAGTGATTCTCTTTCATCATTGATGTTTCTCTCTCTCCCTCTCTTCCTCTCTGAAATCATTAAAAATAAAATAAACCTGGGGAAAAAGTCAAAGTGCCATTATTAGATCAGAATTATCTTTAGGGATTGATTGGATATTAAAGAGTTAACTACCATTACACTATATCTAGTAATTTAAGCTTTGAGGTTAATACCGTCCGTCCAATGGGGAAAATTTGTAGGTATGTGGAAAAAAATTAACTTGAGCAGCTTGGTTAACTTCCCTTGAATTTGCTATTGATATCCTAATTTTATATATTAAAGGCATTTCTTTTGTTTAGTTATGGAAACATTTTACACAAAGGAATTATAAAATTAAAAAAGAAATAACAATTATTTAACTATTATGTAGGATGTTTTAGCCTTCTTAGAAATGTTGATAAGGAATCTAAGAGCATATACTGACTAAAACTACTTGCATTTTCTTCAAGTGAAGCAATATATTTTATATATTTAACACTTTAAAAACATTAGGAACAAAAACTCATAACTACTATCAAATATGCAATTTAAAACAGTGCTTTACAACACAAAACAACAAATGGAAACAATACTTTCTTGCTGTTTTATTTGATTCCTACTAAACAACAAAATTATTATTATTTTTTAATCTACATTAAAGGGAATTTTGACAGTCTTAGTAGCAACTTCTATTTATATTACTTCAAGGCTATTCCAAGTTTGTAATTTTAACAGTTCCTAAATTTGCTTTTTAGCTACTTCTATCCTGCATTATTAAGTTTAATGTTGTATTGTATATGTTCATTACATTTGTAAGCAATGTTACTTGGCCACAAAATATTTTCTGTTTAACATCAGCATGTAATAATCAGAAGGCAGATTCAAGTGTTTATCCAAAAAACCTCATTTAAAAGATTTTATTTAAAGTTATCAATTGGAAAATAGTTTTAATTTATAAAACACTACTTTTAACATGGAACATAACATATCAGAATAAGCACTAAGGGTTTTCTATTAAAGACAATTATATGAATGTGTAACTTGGTATGACTATGAACTAGTCTTTAATTACTCTCACTAGTTACATGTAAAATCTCTTTGAAAAGGTTAGAATTATAATGTAAAAGATAGCACCTGACATAATTAATATAGACAAAATCACCATCTGTTTAATTGGTGCAATTTATTCGAATTCTCTAATATTAAATACTTTTATTATCTTCTTACTACCCCAGATCTTTGGGAATATTTTAAATATGTTTAAGTTTATTCCAGGATGAGCATTTACGGTATTTTTTTTTCCCTTGCAGATAAGAATGTGCCTTTTGATGAGAGGATTTCATCTTTCTACAATGAAGAACAGAATTTTTATGTTTAAGGAATAAGAAGCCACTTTATCAATGGGGGGGGGGGTATTTAAGTTACATATATTATGACAACTTTTAATTTGTTATTGCAATAAGTACTGTATAATTTTGCTGTCTTTGTATGTATAGAAGTGATCCTAATGGGCTTAGAGTTATTTAGAGTAAACTGTGGTATAATAGAAATCTGTTTGAAAATTAATTTAAGGCAGAGTGTTTTCTGATCAATTTTTGTTTCTTGCTTACATTATTATTGTAAACTGTTTTATACACTAATCAGATTTTTTTTGGGGGGTGCGTTTTTTTGTTGTTGTTTGTTTGTATTTGCTGGTTAATTATTTTTTTCTTGGAACTATCAATTCCAACAACTAACTGGTGTGTAATAATAATTTTAAAAGTTCTTTATCAAGATATATTTCCCATTTTTATGGGGAAAAGAATCCAAATTTATTACTTTGCATTTGGGTCTTTTGAATATTAATAAATGTCTGAATTGTATGCAAAAAAATAAATATGATTCAAAATTATTTTTAGAAGGTACAGACAAAATGTGTTTACAAAATAAACCCAGACTATTGAAATATATATTAACATGTGTATTTTATAGGATTTCTAGAAAATTTTGTCATAAAAGGGTTATTACATTTTAGCAAATTTCTTATTAAATTAAGATACCTACTTTGATTAGATATTTGAGAAACCAGTGAATTTCAAAGTCATTTTTTTAGTAATAGTAATGAAAAAGATAGAAATAATGGCATAAACATTTAATCACATTACAGTGTAAGTGAATGAGGAATTAAAGTAAGTGCACAGACTTAGGAGTTGGACATACCTTGATGCAAAAAGTGACTTCATGATTTCTGAACAATTATTCAACCTTATTGAACAGTTTTTCACATTCTAAAAATTAGAGAACTTATAGCAAAGACATGGATCAAAAACTTAGTTCCTTATAGAGGCTGGGGAAGTGATTTCCATGTGTGTCAGTCAGGATAGGCTAGAACATGTAGTAGCAACAGGTGGTCCCCGAATCACAGCGGGTTACAACATAGATTTATTTCTCAGTTAGGCTGCCTCTCTGCTGTGGACTGTGATTTTGCTATTTGCTATCTATTCTCCAGGGCTAAGTGTAATGGAGAAACCTCTGCCTGGAATAGTGACTCATAGCTAAATGTCCAGACTTGTCAAAGTACATGCTAATTCATAAGTTTCTGCCCTAAAGTGATATATTTCATTTGCACCTACATTTTATTGGCCAAACTTGACAGCCATTTCAGAGTTCCATAAGGCAAGGCTAGGTGATCCTCTAGCAATGAGGTAAACTGGATACTTGGCCACCCAAAATGCCAACTGAGTTTGACCTCTATACTCACCACAATGGGTCAGATCTCCTGATGTCAGTGTATTTGTGTATATTGTGCAAGCAGGGATTAAAGCAAAAATGCATAGCCTCTTCTAAAGGGATCAGCCTCTGTTTAGCTCCCAGTAATTCTAACAGGAAGTACTTGCCTGGTGTTGCTGAATCCTTTAATTTTAATTTGCAAGCCAAGACTTCAAATTTGTTATGTAAAGTTTCTTCATTTTAAAATGTTATTAGAACATATTTGGATTAAATAACCCTATACCTACCATTTTGTGATATTTGAAAAATTATATCCCACAGTATCTTAGAAATAGTGATCATTCATATTCATTTCATGACTGATATTTATAAACTAACTTTTATATTAAAATTAAATGGAGGTAAAAAAATCTGGAGAATAAAAATGTATTAAGATAAGCCGAGACTGGTTTGGCTCAGTGAATAGAGCATCGGCCTGCGGACTGAAAGGTCCCAGGTTCGATTCCAGTTGGGGGCATATACATTGGTTGCGGGCACATCCCCAGAAGGGGATGTGCAGGAGGCAGCTGGTCGATGTTTCTCTCTCATCGATGTTTCTAGCTCTCTGTCCCTCTTTCTCTCCCTTCCTCTGTAAAAAATCAATAAAATATATTTTTTAAAAAGATAACTTATAGTAATGATAATTTTCAAATTTTTTTAAAAGATTTTTTAATTTTACAAATAGAGGGAAGACGAGGGAGAGACAGAAACATCAATGAGAGGGGAAATACGAAATGGCTGCCTCCTGCACTCTATTGGGGATAGAGCCAACAGCCCTAGCATGTGCCCTGACCTGGAATCAAACTGGCAACCTCTTGGTGCATGTGTTAATGCTCTACCACTGAGCCATAACTTACAGGAATGATAATTTTCATAAATGATTTTCAAGTTGATAGAAAGGAGATGTTACCAAAATGCTTTAAGCAGTGATGTCAACTTTATTAGAAATATGAAATTTCTCTAGGTGACTACTTTAAAGAGAATATTTTTCCACCGAATGTGGAAATTCTGGCATGTTTGTTGAAAATGCTTTTATTCATTACTTTCATGAACTGCAGATCTATTATCATCATCATCATCATCATCAGCCATACTTTGAGTAAAGTGCCAGATAGCACACTGAAATTTAGGTTCTTTAGATACATTGAGGAAATGGTAGGATTTTCACCTACAAACATGCTGATGAAATGATTAGGATTTTCATTAACAAAGTATGTATATAATAAAATAGTTGGTGATGTCTTAGATGTTGTGAAAACATGTTACTATTCTTCTTTTCCATTTGTATTTCCTTTTGGCTGTTTCATTGACAAACGCCTAACCAAGGAATTAGAGTCAGTGGACACTAGTGTAATTGTATTCTAGTCAGGAGACAAGTAAATGGAGAGAAAGGGTAGGTTTGGAGTAACATATTCTACATCTGAACTGGAAGTTTCTGACCAACTAGTGTGCGGGGCTTGAAAAGGAAGTTACTTCTTTCAGCCAAATTTCTCGTGGTTAGGAGGTAGATAACCCCTGCGGAGCTGGTGGGTGCTCAGCCTTCTCCTTGTCAGCTTCTCGATGGTTTGTGAGTTTAGTTCCCTAACTCAGGATATAATCTTCCACCTTTTGTTACTTAGCTTCTCTTTTAAAATATTTTTGGTGTACTTTTATTTATTTTCACTTATTGGTTATCGCTTTGCCTAATTTACTCTTCTAAGTAAAACAATAAAGGGAAGATAGTTTGCTTCTCTGATGTTAAGAGAGAAAATGATTGGAAGAATGAGGGTAGTGAAATAATCCATTCTATAAATATGTGACTGGAATGCCTATTTTTCAATACATTATTTCACAATATTCCATAGGTTTGGTTTTGTCTTCTCTGACTCTGGTAAGATGGACTTTGACAGATAGGGCTGGATTACTCAAGCTTATTTATCACATCCACAGGGGTCTGCTGCTTATTGCTCCTGAATTCGTTGCCATCATGGTACTTAATATTCCTAGAAAAGCACCTTCTCTGGATATCCGTGTGCAATTTTATTTACTCTTATCTTCTTTATGATGTACCTGATATGCAAAAACAATTATATCTGAGGATCTAAAACCCAAAACTAGACCAAAGAGACTCTTCTTAGACATATTGAGGAGCAAAAGGTTTCTTTTCTATAGGAAATGTGATGGTTCCGAGTCTATGAAATATTTTTAAAATATGCACGTGCTGGTCCTACACTCAAGTATTTCTATTATTTTGGCATAGGGAGTGGTCCAAGTATCTGTATTGTGAGACAGCTCCCCAGGGATTCTGTTGTAAACTCAGGAGATCCTCTGCAGTCTGAAGATGAACCACTTCGGGATGAAGTGCAGAGCTTCTGAGACTGACAAACCCTGCACCGAATTCTGGCACCACCAGTTTCCCCAACTCAGTTATTGTCACTATTCTTTTTTAACAGCTCATTCTCTGCAGGTATCTAGTAATACAGTCTAATTAAACACATATGTCCTCATAGCTTCAGATTTGTTCATCCTCTCCATCCTACACCAACTCTTTGAGGAAGAGATTATTCACATTTTGTTGATAAGTATACGGAGGCTGAGAAAGATTACAGCATTTGTCCAAAATCAAACAGCTAATGGTAACAGATTGGTCTATTGAATATGAGTTCATGAAATTTTTTTTTACTAATAATGATTTTAGGTTGTTTCCAAAGAAAGGGTAAGGTTCTTTATAAATGTACATTCAATGAGGAGATAAAGTCAACTTGAAGAGGTAGGAAATTGAGGCACAAGGAAACACGGTAGGAAAAGGTCACACTATAATTTTGTCTCACATCTATACCATAAAATTCCATACACATGCTATAAATTACCATAAATGCCACTCAAGAGAGAGGCAAAGTTATTCAGTCATTGCTGGTACACGGGCTAGAGAGAGTTCACCGGGTTCTCAATGTGTAATGTAACTGAGGTTCTCTGGTTCACAGTAGTGAACACTTTTTTCAACATGCTTACATTAAACCTGCAAAGTAAATCATGCACATCTGTCTTCTAATATAATTCAGTAAATTAATTTTGCAGGAAAGCAAATTGTTTGTATACAACCATTCCTAATTTATACTAACTGAATGGTAAATTTTAATAGCATCTAACACAGCCTTTCCCCAGTCTGTAAAACAACCTATAAAAAAAAAATCACTGTTTCTCTTTGGCTTTCCTAATATCCTCTATTTTCTTTTCTTTTTTTCCCTTTGTTCTTTTTTCCTCCTCTCTTTTTTATTGTTGCTCTCTCTACTGTTTGGTTTCTCCTCATACTCTGATCTCTCTCTAAGCATAACTACTCATGATATTATATGTTTTATATTCATATAATAAAAATTTAAAAAAAGATGTGCCAGGCAAAATAAAACAGGCAAGGAAGACTTTACTCAAGGCTATCACAGTAGTGGAGAGTGGCCAGGACTAAATTCAAACTCAACTCCACTGAAACAAAGAGCAGAACAGCTTTTAAGCACTAGGGGGAGCTAGTTGGAAATGGAAAGTCCTGGAGGATGTTAGGGAGTCAAGTCATCTATTTTCTAATTGGCTTG